ACTACATTTTCCTTCCTTTTCTACATCGGCCTCTCGTGCCACGTACTTCCGGTACACGTGGCATAAAAAATCTATTATACTCTCGCCATCTCTATTTCTTTGTACATAATATCTAATAAATCTTGTTACACAYAAACTCTACCAGAAATTAAGAAAAATACAGTCCACATTAGCCTGTCTCGTCCATCTCCTATACGTTMTTTTGTAGTTTATTCTCGAACAAATATAAATAAATTAATATTAACGAAGGAAGGATAATATGTGTATCATATATTTTGAAATTTTTAATTATTTCTATATAATAAATTATTGATAACACAAAAGTAATGGTTATATTTATTTAAGTATTTAGTAAATGGATAAAAATTAAATAGGAATGTGCAGGGTGTCCCAATTGAAAGAGGCAATGAAAATATTTTTGTTTATTTGGTATAACAAATGGAATAACAAATTTCTTGTAAGACCACTTTTTAGGAATTTGTTCAAGATCGTCGACATTTTTTATCCTATAAAAGTGCATTGACATTAATAATATAACAAAACTGTAAGACAAACGAGTCTTACCGACCGAGAAATATTTTATTCTAATAATTTCTATCTTAATTTCTATCTCTCTTATATAATTATAATTATTATTCGTTAAACAATGAATGAAAAAAGAATATTAACTCAACTTGAATATAAATTCCCATTATACGATTGATTAAATTAGGTCACGAGAACGCGACATTATTTTATACGAACGTTTAAATACGTTTGCTGGACGCGCGTTACGATAATAAAATATATATTTTTTTTTAAGCTTTCACGACAATTTTACACCTCGTATAAAGGAAGAATAAGAAAGAGAAAGAGAAAGAAAGGAAAAAAAAAGAAAATAGCATTCCAAGTACTCTTAGTACATTCGATGAGGACGATTTAACAATTCCAGAGGTAATTACCCCCTGAACGAGCGAGCAGGCTTTTAACTTGAGTAAAAGTGAAAACGCAAAGGAAGATACACGTGTACGCGCAAGATGTTGAAGAAAATTTACGTGGCGGCGAGGAGAGTGTTAAGGGGGTGAAATAATTTGTCTGGAATATCTCGCGCGACGACACATTACGTTTAACACTATTCTTTTTCTATTATCTTTTTCACATACCAAGCTATTGTTCGTTAAAATAGAACGAACACGCGTATTAAATATTATACATACGTTATGTACATACATAGTTACTTACATACGTGTATGCAAATTATTCTACGTAGGTATATAAAGTCGAAACAAAAAGAAATGATCTAACTGAAATTTTTCTCAGACGTTTCGTGTATATGAATTGAAATGAAAAAGAAAAGAAAAGAAAAGAAAAGAAAAGGAAAAGGAAAAGTAGATAGAAAAGAAAATACAAAAGGATATAAATGTAAAACGTATTTATAATACTTATACACTGATACGTAAAATATATATGTATATATACATAAATGAGCATAAATTGAACCTCGAAATCCAGTAACACATTTCGTGCGAAAATAATACGCTTTTACGAACGCAATCGGTTTTTACAATCGACAGACAGGTTGCATCTGTAATACGGGGGAGCTCATTATATGCGCTTCCCGTTCGTTTTCCATGTCCGAGCTTAATATCATCCATCGTCTACTAACACGAAGTACACACACACACACATATTTGTACGCGTATTTAGCGCGTAATTTATATAAGAAAAGAGGCACGCTTGGTTCCACCCCAAAGCACTTCGATACACTGGCGTCGGCATCTCCTTGCCATTTATTTTTACAACAATCTTAAGAAACTTTATAATCCTTCAACAATAATCTGATCATTAGATGCTTGTCCGTAATCGTCGCGATCGGACGTAACGAAGAAATTGTCGTTGAAAGGGTTGAAAAACTCGTGGTCCTTCGTTCGAATTGAAAGTTACGAATTATCTTTTCTAAGAATCCTTTATTAAAAGTGTGTATAATTAAAAAATCTCGTGCTTTAATTAAAAGCATCTGATATACGCCACTGTGCACACGAAGCAATTGTTGCGGAGCAAGGAACCTCAACTCAGCTTGCTTGCTCAGTGCTGCATCGAACATCCTCGAGTTCGGATGCACCTCGAAATTTGTCTTCTATTTAAGGAATTAGGATTATTTTGTGTGATTATTTTTTTTTTCTTTCTATTAATTTTTGTATTATAATCGAAAATCGTTTAATCGTTCGTGGGAATTTCTACGTGTGTAGTATTTAAAACGATAATATTATACTATCATCTAGAGGATTACCTGATTACATTCGAATGACGTTTCAATAAACGGGGAACCGTTAAAGTATTCTACGTGAGCAGCACGAAATTTTGTCGAGCTTGACTAACCCAATAAACTCGATAGAGAAGAAGACTCTTGTCCGTGACCTCCTAACTTCCTTAAACCGAAACTTAGCATGCGTCGCGCCGAATGTCAAATAATTGAAGAAGAAGAAGAAGAAAAAGAAGAAGAAGAAGTCAAAAAAAAAGACCAAAAAAAAACACACGTCGTCGCCGTCGTCGTCGTCGTCGTCAAAGGAGAGAATATCGAATTGATTCTCTCGAATCTTCTTATTGATGATCTTCTACGTGTACGTTAACGATCGGAGAGAAAATAGGAAACTATATAAGCGTATCACATGCGAACTGGACACGCGTAAGGAACGCTAACGACTCGGTAACGAGGTCGAGTTTACGAACTTGTCATGGAAAGTATCAGAAATAGTATTTCGATATTTGTACTATAAAACAGGTATATATAGATGTTTTTCGACCAAGTTAGTTAACAACCGCTGACATTTGTTTGAACTTTCGTATACCTGTGAATATATACGAATAACGCGATTCGCCAAGCAAAAAAAAAAGAAAAAAAAAAAGAGTGATTTTTCGAAAGCAGAAAACTCTGAAGATCTTCATGTATACGAATAAGAATGTATTTTTAAATACGACGAAAAAAAATACGAGTTAAACGAGATTTGATACTACGTTAAACGGTGAGCTCGTTTTTACGCAATTAGAACGTCGAACGACCAATTTACAATAGGAGAGTTTAAAGAACAAAAAAGTAAAGAAACAGTAAAGAATTTCACAAGTAACAGCTGCGAAAGAAGAGATGATGGGGGCTTAATGTCCTCCCCATCGATTATCGAGTTCCGTCGTGAAACGATACGAGAAAGTCGAATTCTCTCGTGAATCCACGTCCGATGATGAGGTCTCGATAGGTAGGGAGAGAGAGAGAGAGAGAGAGAGAGAGAGGGGAAGATTTTCCATTATCCAAGATTTCTCCATCTCGACGATGAGTTAAGCTACATACATACATACATACGTGTTCTGCTCGCGCATGGTAGCTCGATGACCTTGAAAGGTACGAACTGTGACAAGGAGTGCTTTCTCGCGTGGGTGAGAAAAGCAAATCGATGGATTTGCAAAGAGACATAGAGACGCAGTGGATTGATCGTCGTGATGAACAGAACGTCGTTGTCGAGTTGTGCCAGCAGCACGAAGAAAGTTGCTTCTTCTTCTTCTTCGAGAACGTTGACAACAACATCGACAGGAACTACAACGACAACGACGACAACAAAAACAGCAAGGACAACGACTACGACGACGACGACAACGACGACGACAACATCCTCCTCGTCTTTGTCGTCATCGCGAAATACACGCACGGAAGCTTTCTACGCGAGCGTGAAACCGTTATCCGCTCGACGTGCGTTGCATAATTCTGCCGGCCCAGACCCAGATGCGAATTCCGCTCCAAATTCTTGCGGAACGGCGGAACGAACGAGTAAGAGATATCAGACTTCCGGTCGTTCTAAGAAAAAGAACCACGGAATAATAACAACAGGGACAACAACGGTTGTTTCAAATCAAAATGATAGCGGTAAAGAGAGGACAACGACTAATAGTGGTAAATCGATCGTACGTGATTCGTCAGTAACGTACGTGCCAACTATTTCAAGGAAAGAAATACTCAAGAGAAGTTCTAACAAAGACAGTGATAGATACAGCGGTAAGAGATTTACCGATAGCCTTCAGCGACATTGTTGGATAAGTTCTGCGACGATCGAGATCGACCAAGATGAAGAAGGTGCTAGACCAAAGACTCTTCCATCGATGGGAAGAAGGTTACGTGCTGAGAGAGACTTCAAACAAGTCTCTAGACGAGATATCCTACGAAGGAGAGACAGCGTTGACGTTGTTACGTTTCGAGCGACCTCCCACGGAGGTTCAACTAGACTTAATGGAAATAATAGTGTCTATGGGAAAGAATATATCGAGGTAAAAGGTAACACGATTGGATCTAACTCTAGTACATCGTCGACAAGTGTTTCAAATGACACCAGGTCAAGAGCACCACGATCAACTGTCTCCCTGCAACGTTCTGGGTGGGGTAAAGATGACGAAGAACTTGATTCTAGATCCCCGACTGATTCCGATCTCTTAACAGTTAACATCTCCTCGTTTCGGGACATTAACCGCGACCTTGTACCACGATCATCGACCTTGCCCAAGATCCTACACGCTTCGAGATCCGCCCATGGTCACAGTAACGAGGATTGGTACTATAGACCGGATCCTATTAAAAAAGAACCACCTGTCTATGGTAGAATTAGAAGAAGAAAAACATCCTTACCTGTTGCACCTTCTTTCGAGGATTCCTCAAATATGAGCACTTTGTCCAGGTATACGAAAGCTCGTAAAAATTCACATGGTTCTCGATCAAACACCTTGTCAACCTATTCTAATATTGGTAAAATCAATAGACGTTTGGGCAATCATTCTCTTAACGATGGTTTTACTTATCGAACTAAATCGGAATCGAATCTTATGGATACTAGTATAAGGAGCACGGATATGAGAAAAAGTGAGATTTACGCTAAAGTATCTCGAAAAACTGGCATATCTCGTGAAGTTGAAAAAAATGAGCCGGAAATTAGTGGTCAAGCTATGTCTAGAAGAAGGATTATTCAAAATACTACACAATCCGAATCTTTGGATAGAAGAAGAGTATCTCGGAAGGCAAGTTCGGAAAAAATGTATGTACGTTCGAATGTAACTTCGAACGATCGTCATAGCGAATATTCGAGATACGACGATTTAATGGGTCGAGAACGACGAGAGTTATGTAGAACATCGATAATCGATATTAGGAACGATAATCATCAATCGGATTATTATTCATCTTGGCATAAAATACACGATGGCAAATACAGATCTAAATCACAGAACAGATTAATGGAAATTCGTAATTCCAATCGTGAACATTTGTCGTCGTGCGCTTCAACGATGATTAACAGATTGTCAAATACTCTTCCAAGTTACGTTAAAACATCGAGAAAGTTTTCTTCCAATTCGAGCGTGTCCGTTCGCGGTGCGCGTATCACCGATCCAAAAAATTTCGACGATCGAAAACGATTATTATCGAGAGAAACTGGAACATTGTCGAAGTTAACGAAGGAGAGATCGAATTGCCTGAAGAAATCGGCAGTCGGTATGCTTGCCACCACTTTTGCTTCTGCTCCTGTTGCTGTTCCTGCTGCTCATACGAGGAATCGTAGCGAGACCGATGCCATAGCTCGTAATAAATCGTCCTCTACTATCACCACGACGAGTTCATCGATTTTTGGATTTTGTACGGGAAAGAGAAGAGTTCACGCAAGAGAAACGAATAAAGAAAAAACTAAGAATGCTGAATTTTCTTATCCTCGTTGGCATTTAAAAACGGTGCTTTGCTTATTTCCTTTAAATTTATCAAACGAAAGCTACTTAACGTTTTTGATTTTTTTTTTTTTTATTAAGAGAGAGGAATTATTTATTTTTTTCCCTAATAATCGTAACTTTTTTTATTCTTCGTTGGACGTTGTTAAATTTCAATTTTTTGACGACAACATTTTATTTAAGAAAAAAAAAAACAAAAATATATTCAAACAAATTTTACTTCGACCTAAATTAGTTCAATTCATTATCTTAACGTTGTCCTTTAATCAAAGAAATTTAATATTGCAAGAAACATTTTATAAGAAAAGAAAAAAAAAGGAAAAAAAAATTGAAATCTGTTGTCATTAACCGACTTCTTTATAAAAACTCATTATTTTCTTTCCGTAGGGTGAATTGGTGTGGTTCGACCCCGGTGTCGGCCATGTTTTACCAGGTGAAGTTTTGGAATATCATAGGGCTGCCAACGTTCTTTCGGTACAAGCAGTTATTGCTGGCAAGGTAAGAATTAACAAAAACTTCGTGTTACGAAACGATAAACTCAACTTTTACTAGGTAAGTTTGATCATCGTATATATATACATATATATATATATATATGTACACGTATGTGAAGAAGAGAAAGAAGAAGAAGAAGAATAAAAAATGAAAATGATTAAAAGGCAGACCGCTTGTAACTGAATAGTAAGCGGTGAACATGTTGCGGTCTGAAGCTTCACTTTCTTGAACGAAAAGAGGTCGTTGCTCTCTCGCGCTTCTTCTTCTTCTTCATCGACGTCAGGTATACACTTACAGTATACACGTACACACCCATATATACGTGCATACATTGCAGACTGACCCACAATCGTAGTCTCATTGGAATAACATAAAAAACACAATTCCTTCGTGATGAATTATAACGATATACGATGAGTCAGCTGATTATATTCTCGATCAATAGTTAAATCAATTTTCTTTCTTCATCGATTTGTAATAGATCTAACGGGAAGTTTTTTCCTTTTTTTTATTGTGTTTTTTGTCATTTTCGAGTCTAATCGATTATATTAAATAAAAACAAAAAAAAAGGTATCGCGTACTTTTATCTAGGGTTTCTTTTTTAAAAAGAGCTTTTTATAAATAACTGCTGTGAGAATCGAGTTACACCGGCAAACGCTACGATGTAACGCCGGAAGGAAGTTGAAGAAGAAATGAGAAGAGGGAGGGGAACAAGGAGTAGAAAAAAAAGAGAAAGAGAGATAGGATGAATGACGTGAGAGTTTGAGCTCTCGTTCTCGTCTAACGGAGTACACAAACGAATATATAAGGGATGTATATATATATGTATATGTATAATAGAACAACTAGAAAGTCGAATCGAACTGAACACAGATTATTCGGATGCCTTGAATATTATGGCGGATAGCTCGAAATATTTCCGCGAAAGTGGCCTGTATAACGAAATTACGTGTGCCAAGCTCTGATAGACCGATACCCACGTTCGATCGTTGGCGTGAAAGTGCATATCGAAGTAACATAAAAGAAGAAAAAAAAAGGAACACACATACACACACACACATACATACACGTACACGTAAACACGTACACACAAGGAGTAACGCGCGTTGCTCGAGTACTTGCAACACTTCTCCGTACACTTTCAGGTTCCAAGGACATCTTAGGAGGAACGCGAGTATTCGACGTTTTTCTTTCATCGATCGAATCCTTCCTGTTTCTGATATAATTGCGAATATAGAAAAAGAAAATAACAATTGAATATAAAAAATATTAAATCGAATTAATGTCAAGTTAACTCGCAATTATAGGCTTCCTCGTTACTTTTCAATTTGAGCTTTTAATTTCTAATATGTATAATTATCGTTGGGATATTATTTGTTGGATTTTTTTTTTTTTTTCTTATAATGTTTGACTAAAGGAGACAATAGGAAAGGATTCATTATTTTGTATTAAAAACAATATTGTCTTGTAAATTTCTTCGAGTTATTTAATTATACGATCGATAACGATTTAACAATGAAAATATTTAGTTTCGAATTGATGCCTATGTTTTGTGTCCGTGGATATCATCGCGATGTGTTAAATGTATCGGATTATAGATTACGTTCTTCATGAGCGTAATGTATGATAAATCTGAATTTGAAAATGGAAGATGTAAAATTTGCCCAAAAAAAAAATAAAACATTACAAATATATTAGTCGATAGGAAAATATTTTGTAAGAATAAGATCACGATAAGTAATGATGATCATCGAATTGAAAAAAAAAATGTTAAATGTTGGAAATAAATTATTGGCATAATTAGATATACTTAACTGATCAGAATCATAGAAAATAGTATTCATTTACCAAATGAGTTACCGATACAAGATTCTTTATACCTTCCTCGTAAATGAGAGAGACCGGTTTTAGAAAGAAAATAAAACTTCGTTCACCTGTTCTACGTTTTGGTTGTTGTACACTTGTCGGCTAAGCAAAATGATAGGATAATAATTTTTCGCGGTTGAATCCTACATACATTAGGTTAAGAAACGTTCGTTGGAATGGGCTCGACGCCAATGGAATTGCAACTACAAACTCAAGCAGGCCCGGTATCCGGTTAGGTCTCACGTGAGTGGTTCTCGCGTCTTATGTGAATTCGCACAAATCTTCCTTTTTTTGTCTGACATTCTCTCTTCTCTATCTATCTCTCTCTCTCTTTCTCTTTCTCTCTCTCTCTTTCTCTCTCTTGAGGGAGAGGCCGGGTCGTAGCTATCGAGAAAACGTGGTAAAAAGTGCCTTGAAGAAAGACACTGTCATGAAAGTTCCACGAAGTTGTACGAAGTGAGCAGTACAACTTCGGGAAACTTGACTGCTACATTTAATAAAGAAATCATAAAAGGATAACAATAAGAATATGTTTAATATAAGAGATAATACGTCGATGAAACGTTTGTTTGTCAATTAAGGAAATAAAGAATTATAATGAGAAAATAAGAATTAATATCACTTTAATTCGAATTAATTTTCTTTCTAATTTATGCGCAAATATAGATAGGAAATAAAAGTAATTTATGTTATTATAGACTAATGAGATTAAATAAACGATTTACGTTAAGAAGATTAAAAAGATTGGGAAGGGGGGAAGGGAAGATAGGGATTATTCGGAGTATAAAAAATGTGGGAAGAAAGGTCAAATTTCGTTCGGATTGAAGGATACCAAAGTCAAGGTTACGGAGAAATCAGTAACACCTGGTTCACCTTAAGATCGCGTAGGAGTAACACGAAACAATGAATTTTACGATTTAATTGAATTTACGATACCGCTCGTATTATATTAAAATTGAAATAATTGACGGTCAAGAATAATTAAAGAAAGGAACACGTTATAATTGCAGCCACAGGTATTCACTTTGACGAATCTAAGCGGTGTAAGACCAAGGCAAGATCTCGGACAAAATGGCGTCGAAGATATGATACAGTTGTCGTAAGTTTTACGATAGTTTATACTATTTTCTACTTATCTAAGTAAATATAATAATATACGTAATAAATACATCTCATTCACTTACGTGAAATTAAAATTTCAGGGATCTTAATGAAGCTTCGTTACTATGGAATCTGAAGATCCGTTACGATAAAGAACTAATTTATGTAAGTTTAAAATCCTTTGAAAAAAAATAACATCGATTTACTTATGTATTTATTTTGTTTTGGTTTATTAACGATTAATATATAATAAATATTGCAGACGTACACGGGAAGCATTCTCGTAGCCGTGAATCCGTACAAAATGTTCGACATTTACGGTCTGGACCAGGTGAAACTTTACGAAGGCCGGATTCTTGGCACGTTGCCGCCGTAAGTATCGATCGATTGATCGTGTTAGTTCAATTGCACGATCCGAATAATACACAATATCAGATGAGTAGTAGTTTATCGTTGGATATCGGGATACAACTATTCGTCGGATAAATGAGCCGATAAATGAAATATAAGAGAAATATAAAATAATAACATCAACAACAACAACAACAACAATCTATTATATTAATTTAATTAACTAACCGTTTTATTATTTCTTCATAGACATCTATTTGCCGTTGGGTCTTCGGCTTATAGCCAGGTAACTGCAGCCAACAACGCTAGTGCCAATCAAGTCGTCGTCATTTCCGGGGAATCCGGTTCAGGAAAAACGGAATCGACGAAACTGGTGATGCAGTACTTAGCAGCCGTGAACCGTGCACCTAACAATCTGGTCACGGAACAAATTCTTGAGGCAACGCCGTTATTGGAAAGCTTTGGGAATGCTAAGACACCGAGAAACGACAATAGCAGCAGATTTGGAAAATATTTGGAGGTTCACTTTAGAGAGTTAGTTCGTTTATTCGTCATTTTTTTTTTTTTTTTTTTTTATATATATATCAATATCAATCGTTAAATTCACATAATGACGTTCGTTCGATCAATAATTTTAGCGGTGTCATAGTCGGCGGCAGGATAACCCAATATCTTTTGGAGAAAAGTAGAATAGTCACGCAAGCCTCCGAGGAAAGAAATTATCACGTTTTTTATGAACTTTTAGCAGGACTCGATCAACAACTCAGGGACAAATATGGACTCCTTACGCCGGATAAATATTTTTATTTAAATCAGGTTGGATTTTATATAATATATATTTAGCAAAGAGAAATTTTATTATTTCTTATAAGATATTTAATTAGTTTATATATTGAAAATTTGTAGGGTGGAAATTGTGAAATAGATGGTAAAAGCGACGTTCAAGATTTCAAAGCACTTTTATCGGCAATGCAAGTCTTAGGTTTTACGTCTGAGGAACAGGACACGATTTTTAAGATCCTGGCTAGCGTGTTACATCTCGGTAATGTTTATTTTCATCGTAAACAAATGAGACATGGTCAGGAAGGTGTCGAAGTTGGTTCGGATGCTGAAATACGTTGGGCTGCTCATCTTCTTCAAATCAGTTCCGACGGAATCATCAGAGCACTTACTACAAAAACTACCGTGAGTTTTGAGCTAAACTTTAAAATTAATTTTATTTTACGGAATAAAAAATTGAAAAAGTATTTTTCTTCGATTATAGGAAGCGAGAAACGAGAAAGTTTTTACAGCTTTGAACATAGATCAAGCTTTAGATGCTAGAGACGCTTTTGCAAAAGCTTTATACAGTTCACTTTTTTCATGGCTAGTAGCACGCGTTAATCATATCGTTTATAAAGGAACGAAACAAACGGCTGCCATTTCTATCCTCGATATATTCGGTTTCGAAAATTTTACCGAAAATAGTTTCGAACAATTGTGCATCAATTACGCTAACGAGAATCTTCAATTTTATTTCAATAAACACATTTTCAAATTAGAACAGCAAGAATACGCTAAGGAAAAGATCGATTGGACAACTATTACGTATACTGTAAGTAGACGTTTGTTCATTTTTTTCTTTGTTTTTTGTAAAAAATTAATTTTTTAAATACGGTAATTATAAGAAATTTATGAAAACAGGATAATCTACCAGTGATTCATCTTATCGCTAAGAAACCAGTCGGTATACTTCATCTATTAGACGATGAAAGTAATTTTCCTAAAGCAACGGATCTTTCGTTCTTAGAAAAATGTCATTACAATCATGCCTTGAGCGAATTGTATTCAAGACCAAGAATGAATTCGGCCGAATATGCAATTAAACATTATGCTGGTCAAGTCTGGTATAACGTTGAAGGATTCTTAGATAAAAACAGAGATACTTTAAGAGCAGACGTTGTTGAATTATTGATCAGTAGTAAAATTTCTGTAAGTATAATATTTTACATAAAATATTCATTTTTTATAATATATTAATACAAATTAATTATATTCATTAGATGGTTAGCAAAATGTTTCAACATGTAAGAACTACGCACGAGGCTAACAAAACTGTTAATAAACCCAATGGTCGATTCGTCACGATGAAACCAAGAACGCCTACAGTATCAGCTAGATTTCACGATAGTCTTCAACAACTTTTAGATTCCATGTCTCAGTAAGATCATAATTTTTTGTTATAATAAAATGGTAATTATTAGTTATAGTATCTCGTTTGTTAACTTACAAAATTGTATGTTTTAACAGATGCAACCCATGGTTCGTGAGGTGTATTAAACCTAATACAGAAAAAGCACCAATGAAATTCGACATGCCTTGCGTCCTAGAACAATTACGTTACACCGGCATGTTAGAGACAATTCGAATAAGAAAAACGGGTTATCCAGTTCGTCTATTGTTTGGTCATTTCGTTGATAGATACAGATATTTAGTATCGACACATTTACCTAGAGGAGCACCAAACAAAGAACTGTGTAGGTTGATATTAGATAAAGCGGCACCTAAAGAAGCACAGTCTCAATATCAATTAGGATTAACTCGTGTATTCCTACGAGAATCCTTGGAAAGAACTTTGGAATACAATAGGGCTTTGATATTGGAAAGAGCAGCTATTACTGTTCAAAGGTAAGAGATATAAAGAAAGATAAATGATCGTAAATTAATTTGACTTTAATGCTAAAGTTGTTTTTTGTTTCCCCTTTTTTTTTTGTTTCATTGCAATCGTATTATTTTCTAGATACACGCGTGGTTTCTTAGCGAGAAGAAGATTTTTGAACGTTTCTAGGAGCACGGTAATCATTCAAGCTGCTTATCGTGGATATCGCGAGAGAAAGAAGTTTCACGATCTTAAAAAGGGCGTATTAATGGCGCAAAAACTCTACAGAGGTAAGATACAACGAGAGAAGTTTAAAGTGCTGAAGGAAGAAATGGCTAAGAGAGCTGAAATCGAGAGAGCAAGCAAAGAACGTGCTAAAGCAAAACAACAAAGAGAGGAACAAGAAAGAGCATCAAGAGCCGTGGCTGGTGTTAATCATCTTGAAATTCCTGCTGAACTCGCGTTCATTTACAGTAAGCTCGACGGTACGCATCGAAGAGAATTAATTGACTGGTTATATACAGTAATTTCTTCTCTCCTTTTACTTTCATTTCTCATACGAATGTTCATCGTCTTTGGTTTCAGCCTCTTCTACTATTGCTTCTGCTACTACTACTACTACTACTACTACCACTACTACTGCTACTACTCTTTCAATTAATTTTCATTACTTTCATTTAACTACTTTCGTGCACCGCGTTATCCATGAATTATTTACAATTACTATCCTTCTACAGATTGGCAACCAACACATACAGAAAGAAATCTTTTGAAAGTAGTGGGTCAAGTGATTTCCATGCCGCACGCTTACGTTTTGCCATCTGATATCGATCAACATCAATTCTCAAAATACACTAACATTTACTTCAAGAGTCATATATTTGGTATGAAACGAGAACCGATTAAAACACCATTCCTTACGAAGGCTAGAGATCAAGATTACACGGATTCCTTGATGATATTCAAAATGATCTTGCGTTTTATGAACGAGAACAATTTAAGTGGAAAAAGAGAACAAGCTTTGGGAGATTATATAGTTAATAAGGGTATAGTTAATGAAAAATTAAGGGACGAGATACTTTGTCAATTGGCTAATCAAACTTGGAAGAATGAAAACGATGCTAATAAAGAAAGGGGATGGCTTTTGTTATCTAATTGTTTATCAGCATTTCAACCAAGCATTACTCTTTTCAAATATTTGCTCAAGTGAGTCTATTTTTGTTTGTTTTCATTTGTATAGTTCTTACAATTTTTTAATATATATCTCAATTAATAATTTATATATTCAGGTATGTGTCCGATCATGCTTACGATGGTTATAAAGCTTATTGCCAACGTAAGCTTCTTCAAGGAGAAAGAACTGTGTTTCGAATAATGAGTAACAATCAACAAATTGTTCAACACGTGCCAAGAAATTATCCACCCTGTGTCTTAGAATGGCGAGCTAACAGAAACCGAGTGAACATGGCTCTCAATGTTGGATTTTATGACGGTAAAACAAATTTATATGGACAAAATGATATATTGTAATTTTTATTAGAAAAATTCAAATGAATAAATTTAATAATAGGTGAAACCACCACGTGCGCTATTGATTCTTGGACAACGTGCGAGGAATTAGCTAATCTCGCAGTACAAAATCATGGAGTTGACAATACGGGTTGGACTATTACGTTGTGGAACCAATTGGATGGTCCTGATGCTATCGTAACCGAAACTAATGGGTGCGATTACGTTCTTGACTTAATTTCTGAAATGGAATTAGCACCAGCATTCCCAGCAGCCAAACACATGTTCCTGGAACAACGAAAGAACAGTTATCCTCCTATTAAAAAGAGAGACGTAAGTCTTATAAAAATATAAAATTTGTGTTAAATTACAAATAGACATTTTAAACAACATTAAATACACGCGTTAACTGATCTTGTTTAAGCATGCACAAGTAATTAGAGAGTTGGAACAAGAAATAGAGACACCCGTTTTGAAAACCTTCCAACCTCTTGAAAGGAAATCAGTACCGAAAGTTGTGGACAAGCCGGTTGAACCGGAAATTCAGTCACCAAGACGTCCAGCTGTTCCACCACCACAACCGCCAGTTTCGAAACTACCGGTAAGAGTATTACGTGTAATAAAACGAACAAAATATAAAAAAAAGAAATGAACGTGTATACCACTATCGGAAAAAAAAAGAAAAAAAGAAAAGAAATTAAGAATGATTGTAAAGATCCCACGTAAAAATAAATCAATTTAACATGATTAAAATGTTGGAAATTGTATCGCGTTAAGAAATTAATTGAAATGATTTGTCTCAATAAAGGCACGTAAGCAATCTCACGAAGCGATCTTGGAGACAACGACGGAGACCGGATTATCGAGAAAGTCAGCATTGAACGATCGTTACTTCGAAAAAGAAAAGCAACGAAGTAGAAGCTTGGACAATTTGCTACAACCCGAAGTTGTGATACCACCTAACAAACTCGCTGATCTTGGTCTATCTTCGTCTAAATTAAATGAACGTTATCACAGTCTCGAGAGAATTGGGGAAACTTCGACGGTAACCAATGCTGAATACATGACGAGAAACGAAGTTGCGCAAGAAAGAAAATACAGTAGGATAACAAGGATACCAGAACCTAATATTGAGGAAGAGGATCTTACAATCGATTTTGAGTATCCTGATATACAATCGGTCAGTCAAACTGGACGATCGGAAGATGATAAAAGCAGTTACATTAGATCGCAAACTAGATTTATTAAATCGCAATATCCTGGTAAAATTTTTGTATTATATCAGTAATGTGAATTAAATTAAATAATTAGATCGCGTATAATTAACTGTACGTTTTTTTTTTGACTTTCAGGGAAACGTGCTTTGCCAGGTAGCCAATCGAGTCGTGCTTACATCGAGAAAAGCGAATATGGTGTGAAATCGTCAGCAATGTCCGACACCAGCGAAGCACCTTCATTGGCGTCACACGTAAGGCGAGTTAGAGTACCTAGTCAAGCATCGGATGTCGATCAGTTTCTCGATGAATTATTCATGCCAGTTTTGGATGGAAATCTTGACGAGCTCTCTGATGCTAGAAGCCTTGCAGCAAGCATCAAGGGTACCAACTATGATAGCTTATTTGATGGATCGATAATAATAAAAGAGAAAAAAGAAAATAAAAGCTTCGAAGATTTTATCGGTGATATGACCGGAAATCTTGGTGAAAAACATATCACGGCTAATGTTTTGAGCAAGAAGATCAAGGGAGGTGGTAATATGGATATACCTAATCAAAATGCGGCCTTCAACTTTAGTCCAATAGCACCAGGTGTTATGTCACCACCAATGATGATGCCGATGTTCAGTCCACCCCAACAAATCCCACCAACTCAAAATACGAATTTAAACATGAATCCTGGATTCATGCCAATACCTATCTACAGCATGCAAGGACTTAGTCTTCCGCAATATCCAAATTCACCACCTAATCAAAACAACGAGATGTTAGCATATCAACAAAATCTTCAAAGAGCTTTTCTACAAAGCGCTATGGCACAAAATATTCAAATACAGCAACAACTTTTGGCTCAAAATCAAGCCCTTCAACAATTATTAGTCCAAAGTCCCCAGAATTCCTCGCAACAACAACAGCAACAGCAACAACAACAGCAGCAACAACAACAACAACAACAACCGGTGAGAGAGTCCTATCAAAAGAATAATGAATTTTTTAGTGTGTCCTCCAAATTAGACATTATATTTTTAATTTCTAGTCACACGCTGCAATTCTTTACACGCAAATTATTTAGAAACAAATTGTTCGAATGGCAATGAATATTTTTGACAGCTTCGGTTGAAAAAAAACTTCTATATATATATACAATATATATATAGAAAATATATATATACATAAATATAAATATATTATAAATATACATATCATATATATATTGTATTTGTACAATACAATCTCACGTGTGTATAATACGGTTAACATTGAAAGAAAAGCTTGCATGTAAATACTATTCACAAATATTTCTAGTATGAAATCACGTGTCTCATATTTCACACGTTTTCACGTCACCATGTAACTATCACTAACACGACCACTGCAGCTGTCATCCAATAACAAATTGTAATCGTTATCGCGGTAATTCTTGAGGATGGACACTCTTTCTGTCAATCCTCTGGGTTTCTTAGCCGCGTTTGCGGCATGGGTGTGTGTTTCCAGGGCATGGTGTTACCTACGGGCCCTTCCAGCATGAATCTTGCCCTCCCAGCCCCCCCAATCAGTGCCCAAATGGGGCCCAATGATTCTATAGGACGCAATTCAAAGGTATCTACAGATTTCATCTAACAGATAGAATCGTCCTCTATTATCAGTGATCATCAAAGCGAGATACATCATGCTTTAAACGGGCGATTCGCACATGATTTACACAATTTATAGTGCGATTTTTTTCTAATGAAAAGACTTTTTTATCTTGTTTGTTTAACATGACTTCCAGTGGTACATGGTGTCACGAATGTGTAATATAATATAATCATCGTTTATATCTATTAACTTTCGATTATTATTTAAACTATTATATAATATATATAATTTGTCACTTGTTTTTTATTTGTTCTATAGACAACAAATTAATTGCTTCTCACGATAGATAATTGTTATTGAATTTGTTAATAATAGAAACGAATAAATGTTTACTTCGATCAGGTTTCTTTTCGTGAGCCAGAAGATGGCGAACTTTGGTCGACGGAAAAACGTGGAAGTCCGTCTCAATCGATACAAAATAATCAACGTCAGGAGACGATGACGGTGAAAGCTCAAATCCATAGACCTCCGAGTCCGGATAGAAAAAATTCTGAAGTTGGTAGAAAAATCAGCATGGAATATGGTGCACGTAAGATCAGTGGCGAAAAAAAATTGGCGGATAGAAAATCGTCGGCCTCGGCCGATGTTAAAAGAACAAACACGAACAAGAGCAACGTTCAAAATAATTTCACGAATGTTCTCAGTGAATTAAAAAATAGAAAAAGTAGCGTAGACAGCAATTTATCGAATTCCAGCAACAACAAAGGTGTCCCACCACCTCCACCTATGCCACCACCTCTTGAATCACACGATCCTTCCGAATCTAGACCTTTCCTGGATCCATATGGGAGAGCCAAAACTGTACGCATAGGAAAGTGGAGGTTAGAAGGCATAACATTATTAAATTGTCAAAGATTATTATAATATACAATATATAATATATTTTGGATCTGTTACTTTTTCTTAGATGGCCACCCCCAAGTGATTCTAACGAAAATCAAAGCCAAGATAGTTTCATAGAATTTAAAATGCGTCAGCAACAGCAACAAAGGAAAATAACACCGCATTATCAAGAGTTTCCACAAAATGATTGCGTCGAACTAAACGCGGAAGGTACCGTCGAATGGGAGGAATTCGAAATTGAGAATATCGTTGGAAACGAGGAACGAACTATGATCGTGCATGGATCCGCTGGTACGAGTACCAGACATGAAAATGGACATAAGGAAGAAGGAGAGAAGAAAAAAAAGAAATCTAAGTAAGTTCAATATTATTTACATCTAGTTCAATATTTTTATTAATCAATTTATCATAACGATATATTTGTATAGATCCAGTTTGGAAATAGGTGCACAAAGACCTTCACCAGGTAGTATAGGTAAACTTAAATTAAGTTCAGAAATGAGGCAAAGACTCGAAAAGGTAACAGCCAATCACAGTGTACGATCTACAAAAACTACTGAAAAACCTGCGTTACCGCGCGAAGATGGTAAAGTTAAAAGATTAGAGGATAATCGGAAACTTTTATTGGAACAACAATTAGGTAATATATTTGTTTGCATAGAACACATGATCATTTAATTAATTTCTAATGATTTTGATCATTTGTAAAGGTGGTAGATGGGATGATTACGCTTCAACAGCTGACGACACTCAAAGTGTAACATCCAAAGGTACAACAGATATGATGACACAAGCTCAAGTTGTTAGAACACAAATTGAAAGAATGGAAAGGCCAGTACCACCACCACCTCCTATTACACCTCCGCAACCACCTAGTCCACGGGGTGGAAGCGTGTATAGTAACAGGTACTTCACGAATATTCAACTGTGTTCTTAAACTTCAGAAATTCCAAAATTATGACTAAATTAAATAACAAAAATCAAATTAAAATTTTTTTTAAATTACTTGTAGACTCTCCAAAGTCGCGTTGATCATAATTTAAAAGAATTCCAGCTTTTAATTATTAATTACTCAATAAAAAATGCGCGAAATTAAAATAATAATCACTTATTCCATAGTCAATCCGGAATACCACAACCAAAGTCACCACCTGCACCGATAGAACCTAAAACACGAGAGTCCTTCAGAACCTCTCCAGATTCAGATTCTTTCGATCATTTTCCAAAGAATCAACGTGACATGTTTAGCCAAAGTAGAGACATATTTGCTTCTCAGCAACACTTAAGGGAAAATAACGAATATAGAAACGACTTTGATAAATCTCGATCGTCGCAGGATCAAAAATCCAAGGACTTTTATGGAAAGGACAGTACGGATTTAGCTAGTACCAGGGATCGAATTTCAGATTTTGATTCCCGTCGTGACATGAACTCAGATATTTTTGATCCGAAGTATGCTAGAGATGTTTTTGAAAGTACCAGTCCTAAAAGGGATCCCTTTGGTATGACTCGAGACGTGTCACCAAAATCCAGGGACAGTTTTGGAATGCCGTCACCGCGAGATTTCGGAGTTGTACCTAATACGAGAGAATCATTCTCAGCGGCTCGGCAAAGTTTCAAAAAATTGGACAGAGAAGTGGACAGAAGATCCAGCGTTGCGTCGACTCATCGTACCGATAAAATGGAAAGAATCGAAATCGAGGAATGGCCAGAATTTCTCAGGCCGGTATTACCTCCACCCGATAAGCCAGAAATAGAAAAAGTTCAAGAAGTTGTCAACACAAAATTATATCCACAAACTTCTACAGCTCATTTCACTTACAATAGAGTAAGCTGGACGTTAAGGGTTAAGAAAGAAGTTTTCGCACCGAATGAAACCTTGAACAGTCCATTGGCACTTCATTTGGTCTTTTGTCAAGTGGCTTACGATGTTTTGGCTACGTCAAGTATCAGAATTACTAAAGAGGATCGTCAAAATATGCTCAAGATGCTCGACAATTATGGCGTTACTTTGGACAATCTTCAAAGTACTCAACACAAGATTACTATTAAGAAAAATATCGTTGATATGGCTAAACAATGGCCGTTATATTTCGCTCGAATATTTCCAGTTTCGGTGAGTGTTTATAATTATTTGTCTTTTCTTTTTTTAATTATATATAAAAAAATTGTTTTGCAAATTTATTTTGTTGAAAATTTTTAAACGTTTACAGATCGGTCCGCAACATCCGGAAACTCAACATGTCGCAGTCTCGCATCATGGTTTACGATTAATAAAACGTACAACAAATGGGGATTTAATTATATTAGAAACGTTGCCGCTCGAAGATATCGTTTCGATAAGCTCACCCAGGGCAGGTGTATGCGTGTTGCAAATTTCCTCTGGCGTTAGACTTCCTCTACACACCAACAGAGCACCGCAATTAGCTGATATGATCGGAAAGTACATCAGATCGGTAAGCGAATTTCTCTATAGTCATCTAACTAATTAACTTTACCTTTTATAACTCGACATTATCTTTTTTATCTATTTCTCTTAATCCACTCGGAATCGGGCATGATAATTTATCTTAATAAAATGCCAAATCTGTTGAAGAAAAAAAAGTCACGTTAAAATATGGCAAAGAAATAACGATTAATTTATCAATGTTTTATATATTATACAAAAGTATCACAAAACTACTTTCGCAGAATACACGATGAACTCGTGCGACTTGCGAGAACGGAAATTCAAGTACATAGCTAGCAATAAAACACATTATATAGATACGTATAACATTTATATACAAATATATATGTATATTTATTGTACGTACTTTATTTTTAGATTTACGTATGCATCTTAACATCCGTCCGTTCATAATAGGTTTTATTCTAACTCCTCCTAGTTTTTGCATAGCTCAATCATAGGATTCGTATTCGCGTATAATAATTCTAATACATATATATACATACCCCACCCCAACATTAAATGAAATTTCTTTACTTCGAAAGAAACTATATCGAGAAACTCTTCGCAATCATAATCGTAATAAAACTTCCGCGAAAATCGCACGAAAAATTCTGGAAAAAAGAGAAAGCTAACCAGTCTTTCGTATTCTTTCGTGCGTATCAAAATATTTGAATTATTCTGAATGCATTCGAGGAACATCATGTCGACTCGTTTCACTGAATAAACGAGACTATGAACGAACGAACGAACGAACGGCCTTGTCTTTCAGTTTAACATTCCGTTTCTCTATATATCTATCTTTTTCTCTTCTATATTATAAACTGCATTTGATATACATATTGATATTCTTATTAAATTACCTCTACATACATTTGTTTTATTATTTTTTAGATAATTAATACAGTTTCTATTTTTAATTAAAATACAATACATTTCCGGTAAATCTATTACTCGTTAATATTACTATTCTACGTTGTATTAATATTATTACACTCTCTTTCTATCTTCTATACTTAAGTGTTTTTTTTTTCTTCATTTTTCATCTAACTATAGCAAATAATTATGTCAGAGAATTAAAAAACAAAATCTATTTTTATTTTTTATTTCCCTTTCTTATAAATAACATCATCTGTATAAACACAGTAGAAGTGAAATAGCATAATTATTCGAGACGATCTATCCTAGATAAACACTTCTCATGATTCGAACAAGACGTTAATATTTATCATCAGACGATAGTAACGGGTGTGGATATCAATTGACTTAGAGAATTTTTCTTAGGGTACGTAATCGTACGAAGGTCGTACGTCTCGGATCCGTTGATTCTTGCGCAATTAATCTTAAACACAGATGCAAAAACCTACATACCTTGGGTGAGGTAACGCGATCGCACACACACGCTTGGAAAAATTGGTACCTGTATTATAATATAAAAAAGAAAAAGAGATAAATAAAGAAAGAAAAGAGGAGACACAGTAAGAGTCACCCAATAAGCAACTGTAAGTCTAACTAAGAGTTAAAATAATATTTCGTTATAGTGTGGTGGGTTGCGGAAAGAAAACCTACGATTTCCTTGATAGGATGATGATGAGTAATACTTGTCTTGAGAAAATAATGCAGGAAAATGAAAAAAAAAAAACTATTCAAGATAAATTTCTTCTTCCTTTCATTTCATTTATTATTACTCAATTTGTTTATTTTTTTTCTTTTTTTGACATAGAAATATTATTTTTTTCTATTCGGTACTCGTATTTATTCTTTTTTTTTTTTTTGTAAATCTTTTTTAAAAATTCGTAATATATAAATTATTTTCAGAATATAACACGTATTAATACGTTGTTTCTTTGTTAATTTCAAAATAATAAATATTATCATTAGTATACTGTACTTTAACTCTTTTAATTTATTCGTTGAAAATATGCATACATCGTAAAGATAACGAAGCAACCGATTCTTCGAAATGGTCAAAGCTGTTTTCATCTCTTTGGAAAGACTTTGGCCCGCATGACATCTCACCGGATGCTCCTTCGTGACATTATTAAAGTGACCTTGATCTTTCCACGGTGACATTCACCGCGAAAGATCGCAACGTGTCCAATGCATTTAAATAGGCGTCATCGCGTATATTGGAAAAGTAGATGAAATAATTTCTTTTTTTTCTTTCTTTTCAAATTTTTAATACAAATTATTATAATAATTTTCCATTTTATCTCGAGTTTTGATCGAGATTAAAATAATTACAATTTGTCTTTTCACATTTTTAAACGTATATTAACGTAAATTAAAAAGAAATATGATTAAGCGGTGAATATATAGAAGAAAACGAAACAAAAAGATAAGAAATATAATTTGTAATCGAAACGACGCGATAGGTTATTATATTTCCGACATAATTACTAAACCGTTTGTGATCAGCGATGCTTGAATAGCTCGATACTTTCGTCAGAGTAACCTGTGTAACCGAGGAATTCAAAATTATCATCATCGAGATGTTCCTTTCCCTACAAACGCAGGACTATCAATGAACGCTTCATCAAGAAACTCGACGGCTTGTTTCACCGTTATTTCGAAATCGACTTCGACCTCTCGACCCCGATTCAACGTTTTCTCGAAATCATTCTATACATCTTTTTTCTTTTTTTTTTTCTTATTATTATTTTTCTTCCTCTCTTTTCTATATTCTCCCCCTTATTTGAAATTAATTAAAATAATATTTCACATATTATAATATTTAAATATCGTTTTGACTATATCTTACTATATTATATCTAAATACGTTTTTAATATCAATTGTTTATATTATTATTATTATTTTTTCACAAAATATTCTATCGAATATTCGAAAAAGTGAAAGATGAGAAAAAATCAGATTTATTATTCCAATATTCCTAGTTTTGTTCATATTCGCATATACCCTCCCCCTACCTTTGTATGGATACATACAAAATGGTAATAGAGAGGTGGTAGAATGAAGGCATTGGCCAGCACATATGATCACTCACTGGAAACGTAATTTACACTAGGCGTTACCCTAACTTACCTCGTTACGTTTTTCTCCGTATTCTCTATGGCTCCGTTATAATTTCTAACTCGATCGTAGTTAATTATTGGATGAAAGGACCATTTAACGTTTGGTTACAACCCCGAAAGACCCGTAAAACGTTGCTTCCTTCATATTTTTTCTTTTGTTTTCTTTTCTTCTCTCGTCTCGATTGGAAAATCTCGGTCGTGCGGAAAATAATATAAAATCACGGTAAATAATGTCATGAAAAATTCGTACCACTGACCGTAATTGATTCATTGCAAAATCGATGGAATGCAATTGTTTATACAAATTTTCGGAATTATATGTATAGTCTCAAACAAAAGTGTTCTTACGAATTATATTTATTTTTTTTTTTTTCATTAACATCTTCCGTTAATTTTCTATTTATTATTTTTATCGTTTAAACGTATCCCTTGAGTTTTGAAGTACAATGGATGAAACAAAAAATTCACTAAGGCTTGTTTTTAGTTAAAAAGTATTTTTTATATTTTTGTTTTGTTTTTTTATTATTGTTCGTCAATATTTTATCTTCCTAATTTAGAATATATTTAAACTTTTAAGCATCGTGTGATATTTTTCTTATAAAAATAATTATATATGGAATGTAACATATTACAAATTTACACACGATGTTGAAGAAAAATTTAATCTGCACCAATAATTTGATTCAGCCTTATACTCAAAAAAATTGTTGGATTTAACAACAACAACAAAAATAAAAACCTGATAGAATTACATACATCCATTCGTAATATGATGAAAGGGGAATTACTGATTCTTTTCGTCGCTAAATTATTACTATTATTATTATTAAAGTATTTACTATCTGATCGAATGTCAGACGAAGATGATAAAATAACATCGTTTGAAAAATTATTATTTCGGTGAATAAAAATTGAGAATGAAAAAGAATGAAAATTGTAAGCAATAAGTAAGATATTTTAATTAAATTCAAATAAGTAAATTCCAGTATCTTATTAGATTTTGTTTTTTTATTTTCAATCTTCTTTTATCTTTCTCCAACTTTGAAATCATCAATAATATCGGATTTCAATGGTGTTTCGAAGCCTGGTTAAGTACATGTAGCTGTTTCCTGTACGATGTTGTCATCTCACCGTTTATGACAAAAGAGATAGAAGAAACGTCATTTATGACCGGTTAGAGTCTGTACCTTCTGAACGTTTTCTTCTACCGCAAAACTCTCACTTTCACATTTGAACACAACTTTCAAAGATGCATTCGAAACGGTCTTTTGATAATTGACATATTTTTGACGAGTTGAAAAATAAACCTTCTGGAATACATTTTGTTTGTTCGTTCAATGACAGTTAACAAAAAATTTAATTATTTTAAATTTCTTTTTTCATACCATAATGAAATTTAAATGATAAAATGTTTAAAAAACATTCGTATATTTATAATATGATTTTCTTCCTTTCAGTGAATCGATAATAAAATTTTCTGTAAAATACTTTTAGTTTCAATGACAAATCAATAATTTGTCACGTAAATTCTAAAAACATTATCGAACAAAGACGTCACGTGCGATAAAAAGAAAGTGTCTTTTGTTATTTTCTTTTCCACGTGTGTGAGGAACAACATGGATCGAGTCTCATTTTATACTCAACTTTAAAATTTATATATTCTCACAGCATGCGTATATGGATATGTATATATACTTACGTATCACTTATGCATATAGGTATACTTGCTTGAAAATTGAACACGTCAATGTTCATCATGCTCGAATATAGTCAATGTTTATACGAATATAAAGAAGCACCGGTCAATTCGCTTTTGTTCGTTCTCGCAATACAACAAATCGAATAAATGACCGGTCACGGTAGCAACTCATTGTTCTATTGAAAAGCAAGAAGACTAAAGGGAGTTTGACAATAAGTCAAATTGACAAATATTACACGACAAATAACGGTAATTTAGTAAAAGAACAATCCTTC